ATTAATATGCTAAATAATTTAGGAACTTATTTTTACTGGTGGTCAAGAAAGTCAAAATAAAAGAAAATGGAAAATTATAATATATTAAAATAAGAATAAAAGAATCTAGAGAAGAATCACAATCAAGAGAAACTGAAGAAAACAAAAAGAAAAAAAAAGAGTAGAAGAGTATAATAATAAGAAAATATATATAGATATGGCATGGAACAAAAAGAAGAAAAAGGATACAGGGGTATAGAAGTATTTTAAGAATGAAAAAGAAATTAAAAAAGGAACATATAAGAATATCATATAAAGTATAGCATATGTAAAGTTGGAAACAATAATATTAGACATCAAACAAATTGATACAAAAGAAAAAATAAGGATAATAACAGATCTAAAATTAATAAAACAAAGACAAAATAAGAAAGGACAATACTGGCCAAACTAGGAGCAACAATAAAAGAAAAAGATAAAAAGATAAAACTCATAGTATAATAAATAGACAAAGATAAACAAGATTGAATTTTTAAAGAAATGGACAAGAAAACAAAAGATTAACAAAAAAATTTAAATATTAAAGAAGAAAAAGCAAAGACTAGTAAAAATAGAAGTATAATATGAGAAGAAGAAACAAAACAATAGTTGAAAAAATATATATAAAATTGATAACAAAATTAAAAACATTATAGCATGGTTAAAATTAGAAAAAAACAAGCAAATACAAAGTACACTAACCAGATAGCAAATTGATTGGAAAGCAATATGGAAAAGATATAAAGAAACATTACAAAATAGTAAAGAAGAAGAAAGTAGTATTAGATGACTAGAGAAAAAGATCAATAACAAACTATTGATATTAGAAAAGAAAAAAACAAGAGACAAAGAATAATATGATAAGTATGAAAAATATATAAGATGTGGCAAAATAAAAGAAAACCAAATATATATATGGGAGTGTAAACTGGTGAAACAACAAATATTAATACTGAAGAAAAGAATCACTGAAATAATAAAACATTACATTGATGAAAAGCTAGCAATAAAAAAAAAAACAAGAGAAAAGAAGAAATTTAACAAGTAATGAAAAAATAAAAAATAAAGATCTGTTGGGTATAAATAATAAAAGGAATGGTACAAAAATAATGAATGAGAATTTTGAAAGAAATAATTAGAAAAAAAATAAAAAAGACAATAAATAAAATAAATAAAATAATAAAGCAAGAGGTGAAAAGAATCTAGAGCAAGTGGTAAGAGAATGGAAAAAGAAAAATGGAATAGAAAAAAAAAAAAAGAGAAAATGAAAGGAATATATAAAAAGAATGGAGAAAAAAGGAAAAATATGAAAGAAAGAATAGAGAGAAATAGATATAAAAGAGAAAGAAGAAAAAAATAAATATATAATAGAATGATTAAACAATGAACAAAAAGGAAAAAATATAATTGAACAAATAGAGCTAAGGTAGACTTGGATAGCAAACAAGGTGGCAGGCTACATCCGAATAGTCTATAGTATCTGTAAATAGATTCTAGTTAATATAAAATAATATAGCTTAAACTTTATATATATAATTTTGTATGTAAAAAACTATCTATATTAATAAACTAGAGTAAAGTTTCACTTTAGCCAGAAAAAAAATATCTATTATTATTTATTTTTTTATTTTTTTTTGGGGCTAAGTGCGATACACGCGAGACTTTTATTAATCATTTATATGGTCAACACATGAACAGTCTAGTTTAAATGATACTACCCACCCATTTTTATCCAAATACCAACTTATACATTGGGGGTGGGTTTATACTTAAGTTTCAAGAACAAAAAAAATATCTATTATTCTTTTATTATTATTTATATTTTATATATAAATATGTTTCTATAAGGTATTTCAAAATGTTATGCAAATAATATTTATATAATATTATATTATGAATTTTTATTATTATTTTATTTATTTATGTTGGAGAAAACATACGGTATATAAAGAATCTGGATTTTATCTTAATAAAGCTCTCAATTAAATTTTCTCTTTAATTATTTACCTATAACTTATATCTTGATATTTTCTTGTATTAAAAACTTGACTTATTGTATTAATTGGTGAAAACAGTTAAACTTTTATAAGAAGAAGGTTTTTCTTATAGGCATTGATACATAGTCTTATACAAATGATCTATATTGTCAAATGGTAAGTAAGAAACTTTTATTGTCATCACTAGTTTTGTTTGCAAGAGTAACTAAAATCTTTGATTGTTATATTTTATTTTACTAGATGCTTCATTCATTAGCATGAAACCTACAGAAATATTGAATTGACATTGGCTATTATTTATAACTCTGGTTACTTGTAAAGTACAACTCTTTGAAGTTTCAGATGATAATACAGTAGTTATACAGTAGCTTCTTAGGTATATCTAGTCTAACTACAAATAAGTAATAATACCATATTTGATAATGATAGTTATGTTGATCTTTTGAAGGGTGTAAACCAATTTTCCTTTTTTGAGAGATTATAGAAAATAGAATCTTGAAAAAAACCACTTTTTGTAAAAGATTGTCATATATTAATATAATTTTTAGGAAAAGGTTTTAACTAACCAAGAGGTTGATAATATGAAAATAGAAATTACCAAAGGAGAGAAAGGCCTGGAAAGGAAAAAACTTCAAGGAGAAAGAAAAAACCTAAATTCAACAGGGTAAAGAAGAGGAGAAGGGATAGTTATTTAAAATAGAGACTTGCAAGAAAAGTAGAGAAAGGAAGTGTAACAAATCTATAAGCACCTGATGAAAAACTTTGTTTTTTTCTATAAAATAAGATAATAACCTCACAAGCAATCTTAAGAGACTAGGGATATTTTGATAAAAGAAACATCTTTTATTAATAACCAGAAAGATAATTGTTTTTATATAATTAAGATTATATTTCATAAGTAAGTTAGCATTTAACTCATTACTATAGTAAGTTATTCTTATTTCAGAGATATAAACCCTTATATACCTGTTGTGAGAAAAATAGGGATGGAAACGCAACATTGAGGAGCGTCGCGTAACAATAATGTCAATGATGGTGAAATGATGTACGTAATAATTGGTAATAGCATATAACTGGGAAAACGCATTAACAAAGCATATAAATAGGATATCTTTTAATAGCTTGTAGAGAAGTGAATCAGATTTAGTCAGAGTTTAGTTTTTGAACACACCTGTTTTTCTCGCGCTCTATTAAATAAATGCTATTTTACTTTGCACAATAACATTTACACTCCCTAAAGTATAAACGAAGACTACCGCCACTACAGTAAAGTAAACAACCTTTAGAGAGAAGAGGCCGAGTTACCTTTTGCACCGTAAAGAGCGACACTTGTGATCTTGAGATGCGCCTAGAGAGAAAGACGGTCAAGAAGAGATTAGCAAGTGCGTGAATGTCGGCCAAATCGTAATCCGCCTTAGAGATAAAGCCTTAACTTATTTAATGCCAAAATCCAAGCGTTCGGATTATCGTCACGCGAAAAGTGAGCCGTTTTAGCGACAGACTCGTAACACACCCAATAATGTAATAATAATTAATTTTATATTATATTAATACATATTATATAAAAAGAAAATTTCATTAATGGAATTTGTCACTATAGCATAGACGACACATTACACACACAAGATTGACTGATGGGAATAGTTCATTACACATGAGACAAAAAGTACTTGTAATGCTATTGGTCCTAACACGAATTCTTACAGAAGATTTCTATCGGGATTTTCGGATTGGGTTCTATTCTGTCATTCATCAGCAATTCCCAGAATACGTATATCTTTTTTTATGATATCGTCCACGTTGTTTGCCCAATCGAATATTGTGTTGCTCTACAGTTTCATTTGCTCTTTTAACGCGTTTGTTTATTTTACCACTATTACAACGAAATTCACTTTGTTCAGAATTTTCATTTGATCAAGATTTCTGCTTACCTATATGTATGCTCACTCATATTTAATGTGGAAAATTAAGGAAAATTATATATCGTTTTACTGTCAAATCCAATATAAGGTCATTTATTGTAAATTTCATACACTGATAAAAGCACTCATACAGGTAGATTAGATAGAAAGTCTTTGACTAGCTTAGTATGAGAATTTGAATTTACTATGCTTTTTTGATTTTATTTCTAAAAACTAAGCATGTAAAAACGCGTACAAATAATTGGACGAAGATGCGTGCGGACAGTCAAGAATTTTGCTTTTGACTCTCCCGTAAATGTTCTATGCTTACGTTTCGAAAATTAATTAATTAATAAGATAATTATTAATTTATTATTATATACAAATTGATTTAATAATATTTTTATTTACAGTAAATAAAAATAAGCTGAATTATTTATTTGTTTTATCAATTATCAATTATTATCTTTATTTATCAATAAATAATAACTCATTACTCAACCATACGCTTCGAATAATTTATCAAGCAAGTAAGTAACCTGTTTTAAATTCTTTATTAACAAAGCATTCGAAAAATAAATAAAATTCTAGAGCTGAAATAATGATTGTTAAACCAATTTTATCTACCGTGTAGGTTAAATATATATACTGTATAAATATTTTTCACTTTCTTACAAGTAAATGGCTTCATTAATATTATATCTTAATTTAAAATATGTAAATATGATTGGTACATCCAAATATTATTAAAACCAATAAAAAAAATGAAATTTCTGTTTTCTATAAAAAATTGGTATTAAAAAGCAATCTTGGATTAATTGTCATAAAAAACAGATGTTTTTGTCCATTTATAAAGGAATATACTGTAAGTCACATACGTGTAAATTTGGTGTAGCAAATAAAATGCCAAAAAAGAAAGGTTGTACGCCAACACTATCTATAAAAAAAAAAAAGATGCTAGACGTTTTTAAATACAATGCTTTGTGCTTTGCGCATATAATAGCATCCATCATAATGACTCATCTAAACGTTCAGGTATTCTTATGTATTTTTCTTTTCATAGGATTATTAGCGTTCGAGGCGAATGGAGGCACGTATATGTATTATGTTTCTTATATTTTTGTATAATTGATGTGATTATATTTTTATTCTCAAGTTAACATAACTTTCGTAATATTTTTCCTTCTCGGTACTTAGCTACCTACACTGTTGCACGTCCTGATTCTACTTTTGTAATAACTGATACCGGTACCGGTACCGTCCCGCCCGCCAGTGAGATTCCTTCCGGAATTGTAGTCTATGGTCCCACCACTACAGTTACTGGGAATCAGCCGTATGGTACGTATCTTTAACATAAATTATTAATACGATTAGTAAATTTTATCTAACTATCACCCATCTCGACTATTCTCCAAATAGCTACTTATACTCTCGAAAGTGGCTCTGCAGTCGAAGTGTTTTCCACTTATAGCCAAAATAGCATTGACCCCAGCCAGGTTCCTTCTGGATATACACTTATCGGTCCCTCTACTACAGTTGTCGGAAATTCCCCTATAAGTTCAACTCCCACAGCATCTGATGCGCCCGTGTCCTCTGGACCAACCTTAGCTACCGATAGATCTCTAACTAGTAGTTCTTTAACTTCTGGTCACGTTTCGGCTAGTGGGCATTCAGGCTCCAGCAGCCCTACTTCCGGCAAAATTCCGAACACTTGGGGTAACTACGGACCTGGTATGCACATGTTTGAATTAACCAACAAATATTTTAAGCTGTTGTTGTTAATTAATATTTTTATTACATTAGGACCTACGGTCACAAAATCGGGAACGATTGCTTATAATAGACCCAATTTCGATTTAGGATGTTTCTTAGCCATCGGAATGAACATAGCATATTGCTGTTGGATATCTCTAATTGAACGGTAGAATTGTTGACCATATTTATTGCTTAAATTAATTTATCCAAGAATTTTAAATAGATAATTTAATAACCGTTAGGGTCCGAATTATTATTTAAAAAATATAATTTAATTTAATTTAAATAATTTAATATAATTTAATATTATACGCATATTAATAATTTTAATTAATTAAATTTTTAAAAATTTTTTAAAAATTTATTTTGATACAATATTTTTATTAATAGGCATAATTAATACATATACAGTAAATTTCAAATTACTGTAACAATACGATTAAAAATTTTTAAAATTTAAAATAAAATACTATTCATTTATTTTTTTTAATACATTCTATTTAAATAATTTAAAATTTTTTATTTTTATAAAAAATAATCGGACACTAAAAAGTGCGGAAATGTTCACTTTTCTGCTCGTTATCTCCCTTTCAGTCCTATGCTTTGCTTCGGACAATTAATCACGTATACTGTATAATTGGTAAAATACATAATACTGTTTTCAGCAAAAATTCAATAAAAAGTATTTTATCGTACTTAAATATCAATTTTTTTATTTGATTAATATATTAAATAAGTCATGCTGTAAGTACAGTATAACATTCACAGATTTCACGTGAATATAAAATATTAAGAACAGTCCAACCGGAGATTTGTTCACGTACAAGTAAATAATTTAAACAATATTGCACTTCTGTATAAGTGCGCATGTTTTTCCGAGATGATGATTACGTACAGTATTTCGATTTTTCGTAAAACAGAACAAGTAATTAAACGTAAATCTGCAAAATAACATTTAATCATATAAGATACCTTTCAAACGTACAAGCCATCATGAATTTTATTATAAATAGAATTATTTATTTAAAAGTTGCAAAAAATGAAAACTTAAATAAAAATTGGTTCCGATAAAAATACACATAGAAAGTCCATGTCGTTATAGTTACTACTGTATTTGTCACTTTACTACATATATAGTAGCTGTTCAATAATTCCATCAAAATTCCCTCTATGCCTCCTAACTAACTCCCCTAGCTCTTCATCATTCATCCTAAACCCCATTGACTTTAATATTTCTAAACTCTTTTTAACGTCATTTTCTGATATAGTATTACTCGTTCCACACTGTTGATTCAAGAATGACCTCGAATCATTACAATTCACATCTCTCCTCCTCCCACATTCTTCTCGGTTACCTACATTGGAACAACAATGTTCGTGACTAGTCTGTCCCCACCTATCATAATAACCACGCCCATGGTTGAAACTATTAACAAAAGTCAATCCCTTCCATAACAAGAATATAGTTATGATTGGACAGAAAGCGATAAAAGAGAGCTTCACAAAAGTAATAAAGAGAGAGATAAAAAGTATAGTTTTCATGATTCCTTTGAAAATAGAACCAGTTACGCATTGACGTTGATGGTGGTAGGCCCGCCAACGAGCGAATCGACCACGCCTGCTATTAAATGGGGAATATCTACGATCGGAAAATCGAGTGTGACGAGAAAAAAGTGGATGGGCAAACGACAAGAACCTAGAACTAAAACATGGAAGTTGTAACCACGGATTAAATATAACAAAGTTGATATCTAAATTATTCAGGTTTTCGTGGTCTTCTGAATCTTGTGATTCTTGGTCGTGAACCCTAGGTGATTGACCATGGCATCAGAATTTGACGAAGACGAAGTTTCACCAACAGTCTCGTGTTGTAATGTTTCGGACATTCTTTGCTGTTTTTCTTCATTTCGTGTGGCATCAGAATTGGACGAAGACGAAGTTTCACCAATAGTCTCGTGTTGTAATGTTTCGGACACTCTTTGCTGTTTTTCTTCATTTTGTGGTGCTTGTACAGGGTAAATTGTAGGTTCGAAAGTTGGTTCTTCAGTTTCTTCCGACAAAGCCACATGTCTATGTACCGGTGTATTAATGGACTCCTGGTTGTTGATTTCTTCCGAGAAATCACCTTCACCAGAGCTACCTTCGTTATCACTATAATTCACATTATTGTTATAACTCTCATCGTCACTATTTTCATTACTTTTATTATTGGTCGAGTTAAACCATCCTCTTTTAGTATTCATCGTGTTACCTTCAAACATCCAACCATTATCCAATTGCGCATCCTCTTCATCAGATACGGTTATTACGAATTTTAATAGAGCACTATCACTATTTTTCAAATTTTCACTGTCATATTCTCGAGTAGGGGATAAGACTTCTAAGAGTTCAAGATCACTAGAAAGCGTGATGACATCGCCGTCTTCATCATTATAAGAAACAGTGATCGATGTGTTCATAGGAATTTTAAATAGGGAACGAAGTTGTGATTCGAAGTCTAACCATTTGGTGGTTGGGGAGATTTTGAAACGGCGGGAGATTTGACCATAAGTTACCTTTATGTTCGCCATCGTTCCGGGTTTCTTCGTGAAAATTTATCAATACAATATTGGTGAATTTTTATAAAAGCTGATCTAATGTATTTATCCGATACTTTATTCCTATTTTTTAACGACCCGGTCGATTCCCTGAATTTATACTTTTCTCCCATCTTGCAAAACGATCGACAATTACGCGGAATTGTTATTCGATTCGTAAGCAAAGTTCGTACGTAAACAAAAATTTTATTACGTATACATGTACGTAGATGCAAACAAGCGTATTACGTGTTTGTAATATCCTATGCAATGTCGGGGAAAAAAAGGTGAGTCACCTCTATAAGACAATAATTTAGGAGAGTTGCACTCCTTTCGTTAAAATCTTGGCACATTCTTAATATACGTATGTAGGAAAAATAGTAACTAGACGTTTGTTTTGGTAACATTTGTATAATAATGTAGAACTTCACCGAAATTTTCATTTGGAAATTATATTGATTTCGATTTTAAAAAGATTAAAATAAACTCATTAATAATGTTTCTACTTTGATTGCACTCTAGCAGGAATATCAATTTGAAAGTCACAATAATCACGACATCAAGCACAGTACAGTAAAGCACTTTAATCTGTCAATAAAGTTAAATAATTTTTATGACGATAAGATTTAACTATCATTATTTTTCAATACCTTAATTTGTTTAATTAAACAAGACAATAATGTGGGTTCCGTTATATAACATTGTTTTTTAAAAACGTGGAATTATTACATCCTGCTACTATGTTGCGAAAAATTACAAAACTTATAGAATATTTATAGAATATTGTTGACGTGCCGGCTAATCTCACAGCTTGCGTTAGTCATGTATACTTAGGGTGATAATTCCTGAGACGTAGTTTAAACTCGATCCGTCCTTTTTCTCTTCTTGACTTCTTTGATCAACTATCTATCTTCCTAACCTTGGTTTTTTTATCGACACACATTTTAATATTATAAGTATATTTTCCAGATTATGAATAAGTTATATATCAAAGTTCACACACACTCTTTTTTTCTAATACGACTATACTATCCTATTTATCTATCCAGGCGTGGCATGCAAATTAAGCTCAAAACGCGTTATACCCTACCCTCTTGAGGCGCACAATGTCACGTGAATACCTCATTATCAAATATCAATAAGAGTAATGCATTGGTTTGATACGGGTGGCAGCTCCTTAATTTTGTAGAAGGTGCTAATGTAGTAAAAAGACATTATAAATCACGTGAATAAACATAATTTTTATGCGTTAAATCTACACCTTACCAAAAGCATTAATTAGGAAAGGTATTACGTACTTTTATAGATGTACTCTATTAGTAATTAAAGTATTACCGGAAGCCTATAGGCTGCGATAAGCACCTGTAGGCTCAGAAGTTGCAAGAGACTGCTAAACGAAGATTCAGAAGTAGACAGAGGACCGGTATTGACAAAGTTTCATATATTGTAAAGTCGGAATTAACGCCGATCATATGATAGACGATCGCAAATACCTAATATCCTAAAATCGGTGATACTGTGTTATTCTATTAAAAGACAAATAATCATAAGACCTTTAATAATTTTATTTATATATAGACAAAAATATTCAATAAATGTTACAATTTCCAATAATTTAACAAGAAGAAACAAATTTATTAAATATAAAAGCATTTTATTAATGAACTATTTTGATGCTACTGTTACGAGGAAATAGTGATTGATGATATGCCTTAAAATTTGCGTAACGAAAATCGTGCATTACAGAGGTTGCTTAATCGGGTAATTGACCTTCAACCTCGTTATTTTCTTTATTTCTGTTATTTCTTTTATTTCTTTTATTTCTTTTATTTTTTTTTGCTGTTAAAAAGTATAAAAACAATGTAATAGAATATAGGAAAAAGAAGGAAGATGATAGAGAAAAAAAAGATAATAAAAAAGTATTCATTGAATAAAATCACCATACTTATTGCATTGTTCTTAACCAATAAAATCCTTCCA